AAAATGTAAACTTTTCACACACCTGCCAGGTACAGAACTTAACTGTGGCTTCCAAAAACCTGCCGGTAAAATGAAGCTGAACGTGAGTTTCACACACCTCCAGGTACAAAAAGCACCTTGACTTCACACACCTCCACGACATGAAGCAACTGTGAGCTTCACACACCTGCCAGGGGCATGAAGCAGCACTGTGAGCTTCACACACCTGCCAGGTACATGAACGAACTGTGGCTTCACACACCTGCCAGGTACAGGGAAACGAACTGTGACTTTCCCACCTCCCATGTACAGAACAGCACTGTGACTTCACAAAACCTGCCAGGGACGGAAAAACCTGGGGGGAGCTTCCAAAAAAACACCGCCATGACATGAACACCCTGTGAGCTTCAAAAACCTGCCCCCGGTAATTAAGCACACTGTGAGCTTCACAAAACCGCCAGGTACATGAAAAATGAAAATTTGGGGCTTCACACACCCGCCAGTACATGAAGCCACTATGACCCCTTTACACACCGCAAGGTACATGAAGCAGAACTGTGGGGCTTCACACACCCCAAAGGTACATGAAGCAGAGCGTAGCTTCACACCCTGCCAGGTAATGAACAAACTGTGAGCTTCACACACCTGCCCGTTTCATGAACGAACGTGACTTTTACACACCTGCAAGGTAAAATGAAGCACACTGGAGCTTTTCCCCACCTTTCCCGTACATGAAGCAAACTGTGACTTCACACACCGCAAAAATTTTAACAGAACGTGACTTCACACACCTGCCAGGACATGAAGCACACTGTAGCTTTCACACACCGACAGGTACATTAAGCAAACTGTAGCTTTTAAAACCCCCTGCCAGTACATGAAGTAGACTGTACTTCACACACCCGCCAGGTACATGAAGCAGCACTGTGAGCTTTCACACACCTGCCCGTACATGAACCAACTGTGGCTTCACACACCTGCCACGTACATAAGCAGCACTGTGGCTTTTTACACACCTGCCAGGACATAAGCACCTTGACTCACACACCTTTCCCGGGACATAAACTAAAATGGGCTTCACACACCTGCCCCGGTACATGAAGCTGAACTGTGAGCTTCACAACCTGCCAGGGGACAGAAGCAAAACCTGTGAGCTTCACACACCTGCCAGGACATAACACACTGTGAGCTTCACACCCGCCTGTACATGAAGAAGCACTGTGAGCTTCACACACCTGCCAGGTACATGAAGCTGAACTGGGACTTCCCCCACACCTGCCAGGTATGAAGCGAACTGGACTTTTACACACCTGCCGGTACAAAGGCCAGCACTGGGACTTCACACACCTGCCCCCGGTACATGAAGCTAAAACTTGACTTCCCCACACCTACCAGGGACAGAACTGAACGTGAGCTTCCACACCTGCCAGGTACATGAAGATAAATGTGAGCTTCACAAAAACTGCCGGGACATGAAACAGCACTGTGAGCTTCCACACCTCCAGGACATGAAGCAGCACTGTGAGCTTCACACACCGCCAGGTCATGAACGCACGTGAGCTTTTAACACCTCCCCGTCATTAAAAAGCACTGGAGCTTCACACACCTGCAATGTACATAAGCAGCCTGTGAGCTTCACACACCTGCCCCCGTACAGAAGCAGCACTGTGACTTTCACACACCTCCATGGACAAAGCAAACGTAGCTACACACCTGCAAGGTACATGAACTCCGTGAGCTTCACACACCTGCCATGGTACATGAAGCAAACTGGAGCCACACCCTGCCAGTCATGAAGCACACTGGAGCTTCACACACCCTCCAGGTACAAAGAAGCAGAAAAATGTTTAGCTCCGCAAACCGCCGGTACATGAAGCAGCCTGTGACTTCACACACCTGCCCGGTACAGAAGCAAAAATGTGGCTTCCACACCTGCCCGGTACAAGAAGCACAAATGTGAGCTTTACACACCTGCCCAAATGAAGCTGAACTGTGAGCTTCACACCCTGCCCAGGTGCATAAGCAGCACGTGACTTTTCCCCACACCTGCCCAGGACATGAACTGAAAAATGTGACTTCACACCCTGCCAGGTGCATAACCACCCCCTGTGACTTCACACACCTCCCCGGTACATGAAGCTGAACTGTGAGTTCACACCAAAACCCGCAAAGGGACATGAGCATCCTGTGAGCCTTTTTTACACACCGCCAGGTAAAATGAACTGAACTTTGGGGCTTCACACACCTGCAAGGTACATGAACGAACTGTAGATTTTACACAACCGCAAGGTACATAAAGGTAACTGTGAGCTTTACACACCTGCAAGTACATGAAGCTAAAATGTGAGCTCACACACCTCAAGGATAAAGCAGAACTGTGAGCTTCACACACCGCCAGGTACATGAACAGCACTGGGTTCACACACCTGCCAGGTACATGAAGCAGCACTGTAAGATGAGCTTGACACACCTGCCAGTACTGAAGCTGAACTGTGTGCTTCTCATACCTGCCAGGTACTGAAGGAGCACTGTGAGCTTCAACAACTGGCAAGGTACATGAAGCTAGCACTGTGAAGCTTCACACACCTGACTGGCACATGAAGCTTCACTGTCAGCTTCAACACAACCTGCCGGTTCATGGGGGGGGAAGCAGCACTGTGAGCTTCACAACCAGCCAGGTACTTGAAGCAGCACTGTGAGCTTCACACCACCTGCCAGGTAACATGAAGCAGCACTGTGAGCTTCACACACCTGCAGGTACATGAAAGCAGCACTGTTGAGCTTCAACAACCTGCCAGGTACATGAAGCAGAATGTGAGTTCACATACCTGCCAGGTACATGATGAACCAGCACTGTGTGCTTTTCACAGACCTGCCAGGTACATGAAGCATCAATGTGAGCTTCACATACATGACAGGTACATGATGCATCACTGTGAGCTTCACACACCCTGCAAGGTACAAGAAGAGAACTGTGAGCTTCACACTACACCTGCCAGGGTACATGAAGCTGCCACTGTGAGCTGCACACACCTGCCCAGGTACAGGAAGCAGAAATGTGAGCTTCACATACCTGCTAGGATACATGAAGCGCACTGTGTGCTTCACACACCTGCCAGGTACATGAAGCAGCACTGTGAGCTTCACACACCTGCAAGGTACAGGAAGCAGACTGTGGCTTCACACTCCTGCAGGTACAATGAAGCCAGAACTGTGAGCTTCACACCCTGCAGGTACATGGAAGCTGAACTGTGAGCATTCACACACCTGCCAGGTACATGAAGAGAACTGTTGCTTCACCACCATGCAGGTTCATGAAGCTGAAACTGTGTGCTTCACACACCGCCAGGTTAACATGAAGCAGCACTGTGGACTTCACATTCCTGCCCAGGTACTTGAAGCAGAACGGTTTGGCTTCACATTACCTGCCAAGGTAAATTGGAAGCAGAACTGTGAGCTTCACATACTGCCAGGTACATGGAAGCAGATCTGTGGAGCTTCACACACCTGCCAGGTACAGGAAGCAGCACTGTTTTGAGCTTCACCACACTGCCGGTAACATGATTGCAGCACTGTGAGCTTCACACACCTGCCAGGTAAATGAAACACAGACTGTGAGATTCACTACCTGCCAGGTACTTTGAAGCAGAAAACTGTGAGCTTCACACACCTGCCAGGTACATGAAGCGACACTGTGAGCTTCACACAACTGCCAGGTACATGAAGCAAACTGTGAACTTCACTTACATGCCAGGTACATGAAAAGGAGCACTGTGAGATTCACATACATGCCGGTACTTGAAGCAGACACTGTGAGCTTCAACACCTGCCAGGTACATGAAGCATCACATGTGAGCTTCTCACACCTGCCTGGTACATGATGCCGCACTGTGTGCTTCACCACACCTGCCAGCCTTCATGAAGCGATACTGTGAGCTTCACATACCTGGAAGGTTAATTGATAGATCACTGTGAGCTTCACCACACCTGCAGGGACATGAAAGCTGAACTTGTGTGCTTCACACACCTGCCACGGTTAATGAAGGGCCAGCACTGTGTGACTTCACACACCTGCCAGGAACATGATGCGCACTGTGAGCTTAACACACCGGCAGGTACATGAAGCAGCACTGTGAGCTTCACACACCTGCCAGGTACATGAAGCATCACTGTGAGCTTCACATACCTGCCAGGTACATGAAGCAGCACTGTGAGCTTCACACACCTGCCAGGTACATGAAGCAGAACTGTGAGCTTCACACACCTGCCAGGTACATGAAGCAGCACTGTGAGCTTCACACACCTGCCAGGTACATGAAGCAGAACTGTGAGCTTCACACACCTGCCAGGTACATGAAGCTGCACTGTGAGCTTCACTTGTTTATAGATCTACATCGGTGTATTTTAGATATGATACAGGTGACAGTTCTATGCAATTCTTTACAAAAATGTGTAATAATTGCATATAGTTATTTATTTGTTATTGTTTATTAATATTTAAGATGAATTTTTTGTCCAAAACTATAGATTTTTTTCTGAAAACATCCACATATACGTCGTTTTTTGCACGGCGATAAATTTAGTTAATGGTGCTTTAGCGTATTTTGGAATGTTTGAAATCTATCATAAATATTGTGGATATGGACCAAAGTAATGTTATGGGGTTATGTTTTTTTATTTTTTTTATGGTAAAGGTTACCATGGTAATTATGACACATGCGTAACGGTTGGGTATCTCTATTATTGAAACGTTTCGCCTACACAGCAGGCTTCTTCAGTCAAATACAGAGGCAGCAGGTGCAGCAGTAGTGAAATGATGATGTAATCTGTGTATGAACCTTGGAGATAAGAGGTGGTCAGTCCCTCAGCCTGGAGAAGAGTTCACTTCCGTCGTCTGGAACGATGTCCTCAAAAGGCTGATAGACTGAATATATCATCTCCATTTCACTACAACTACACCTTAATTAACTTCTCGGTATTTTATACCGTTCTTAAAATGGAATTTACCATGTTATACTGACCTGTGTTTGGCTACCTTGATGTTGTCTCTGAGGGCCCAGCCATCGCTGGGGTGCGCCTCAGCAGTGTACACCAACACGAAGTCTGCCACCTCACAGAACTCCTCCGTCAACTGCAACACACATACATTATGTGTAATTATAGGTTAGGTTGGGTAAGGTTCGTCAGGAAACAGGACAAATGTTTCCTGACGCGGGTCTTAGTCAGATGATGACCCGCCTTTGGAGCTTTTGGTCATCTGACCGAGGCCTTCCACTGGCTTACCGGTCCACCCCTTTAAAAATTATGGTCATTTATAACCAGTCTGTCTATATATGTGTAATAATGATGGTAGAATTACCGGCAATATGTTTGGTAAATAAACACACTTGTAACTAATCGGAGATTTTACTGTAGCAATGTTTCGCTCTCTAGGATCTTCATCGAGTCGTTGTAACGGCTTGATGAAGATCTCGGAGGGCGAAACGTTACCACAATAAAATGTCGCAATCGTTGCACATATCATATTTAACTTGACTCACGAAATCGTAATGACACGATTGCAAACAAACCATACCCCGGCGGGATTTGAATCCGCGGTCAGAGAGTCTGAAAACTCCAGACCGTCGCGGTAGCCACTGTGGTCACAGTGGTGCCTGTGCTAACCTTCCTATGGTGTAGAAATATACCTAGTTGGACGAATCTTATTGTGGCTAGCTGGTCTAGTGGCTAACGCGACGGTCTGGAGTTTTGAGACTCTCTGACCGCGGGTTCAAATCCCACCCGTGGTATGGTTTAACATATCATATTTACCTAACAAGATTAAGCTGGGAGTATTAAAGGCAGTGTTTTAAAAATAGTAACACCGGTTCTTTATTAATATAAACCTACTGGACTAAACCACTGGCAAACATCGAGGTTTATAGAATATTTAATTAGCACCCAACTATAAAGTCAACCAGAATTATTTCACTGGATGTGGGATCCAAGAAAGAAATTCCTGACCTACATCACCTCGGTCTCCGGCGCCTCAGTAAACACTGTTGGAACAGTGCAGAGTGCGGCATAAGTTAACAATGAGGTTGAATATTATCAGTGAGGTTTTTGAAGGGTATCGCAAAAGACATTTAAAAAGTCATCATCTGAAAAATTAATATCCATTTTTTTTCAGTAAAAATGGTTAATTAAAACATAAACAGCCGAAGTCGAATTGAAACCTTTCAAAGAGAGAGAAGTCCAGTATTCTAAAAAGCACGAGCATATTCATGGCAATATAAACACAAATGCAGTATAATGTGATCCTTTATTGACTACGTTTCGCCCACACAGTGGGCTTTTTCAAGTCACAAACAGAACTACCTGGGGTGGAAGGAACGCGAGTATTTATAGTCCGGCTGAGGTCAGGGGAACAATGCTGCATCTGATGATGTACCGAGTTGGGTTGTAGAGTCTAAAAACTTGGGTAGCTTGGAAAGGAGACTGGACAAGTTTGTGAGCAGACCTTCTACAGTGTTCTTATGTGGGATAGCGATGAAGAAGTTTCTTGGCAAGTGGTTCAGCTATGTTATAGAAGCCACTATTCTGGTTGAAGTTGTCGGATATAGAAATAAGTGATGATTCCAGGATTCTTCGGTATTGGGTGTTGTCTTCTGTGGCGATAAGTCTTGAGTTTCTGTAGTTTATCAAGTGGTTGTGTGAATTACGGTGTTGTACGCAGGCATTCCTTGTGTCGTCAGACCTGCTTGCGTATTGGTGTTCTGAAATACGTGTTTGGAGGTCCCTTGATGTTTCGCCCACGTATAACTTGTTGCAGTCATTACAAGGGATTATGTATACCCCTGCAGAGGATGGAGGCTTGTCCTGCCTACTACTGGTGATGTCCTTGATGGTCGTGGTTGTGGAGGTAGATACTTGGAATGATGTTTTGGCAAAGATGTTGGAAACATGTTTGGCAATGGAGTTGGTGGGAAGGACTATGTATCTCTTCTCGGCAGTGTCTTCTCTGGGTGTGTTGAAGATGTTTAGTGCTCGCCGTCTGCAGTCTCTGATGAAGTGACGAGGATAGTGGAGTTTGGAAAATACCTGTTCAATTATAGTGCATTCTTCCTCAAGGAACTCGTTGCTGCAGATTCTGAGTGCACGCAGGAAGAAGCCTATAATTACACCACGTTTGGTTTTGGTGTCGTGGTGAGAGTAGAAGTGGAGAAGATCGTTTTGGTTGGTGGGTTTTCGATAGACTTTAAAACGAAGTTCGTGGTCAGCTTTGCTGACCACGAACCCACCAACCAAAACGATCTTCTCCACTTCTACTCTCACCACGACACCAAAACCAAACGTGGTGTAATTATAGGCTTCTTCCTGCGTGCACTCAGAATCTGCAGCAACGAGTTCCTTGAGGAAGAATGCACTATAATTGAACAGGTATTTTCCAAACTCCACTATCCTCGTCACTTCATCAGAGACTGCAGACGGCGAGCACTAAACATCTTCAACACACCCAGAGAAGACACTGCCGAGAAGAGATACATAGTCCTTCCCACCAACTCCATTGCCAAACATGTTTCCAACATCTTTGCCAAAACATCATTCCAAGTATCTACCTCCACAACCACGACCATCAAGGACATCACCAGTAGTAGGCAGGACAAGCCTCCATCCTCTGCAGGGGTATACATAATCCCTTGTAATGACTGCAACAAGTTATACGTGGGCGAAACATCAAGGGACCTCCAAACACGTATTTCAGAACACCAATACGCAAGCAGGTCTGACGACACAAGGAATGCCTGCGTACAACACCGTAATTCACACAACCACTTGATAAACTACAGAAACTCAAGACTTATCGCCACAGAAGACAACACCCAATACCGAAGAATCCTGGAATCATCACTTATTTCTATATCCGACAACTTCAACCAGAATAGTGGCTTCTATAACATAGCTGAACCACTTGCCAAGAAACTTCTTCATCGCTATCCCACATAAGAACACTGTAGAAGGTCTGCTCACAAACTTGTCCAGTCTCCTTTCCAAGCTACCCAAGTTTTTAGACTCTACAACCCAACTCGGTACATCATCAGATGCAGCATTGTTCCCCTGACCTCAGCCGGACTATAAATACTCGCGTTCCTTCCACCCCAGGTAGTTCTGTTTGTGACTTGAAAAAGCCCACTGTGTGGGCGAAACGTAGTCAATAAAGGATCACATTATACTGCATTTGTGTTTATATTGCCATTGTGTCGGTATTTTATACCATTTATTTCCAACGAGCATATTCAGTTTGAAGCCGCTCCGAAGTGTCATTACCAAGTTATCAGCATGGAAGGGTTGTAACTCATCACATAAGACAATCAGAATTTATTGCTTGAAAAGAAAAGACTAATTTTCTCTAGTTTCTTCCTGAGAAGCAAGTTGGGATCTGCACAGCCAAAAATCGCTCCAAACTTTTCTCTAAGTAATGTTGACCAGTTTTTAATAAAGTAAGCGCAGTAAGTAAGTAAGTAAGTAAGCTTTATATAAGCTTATTGTACATAAAATGCAAAGTTTTAACCCTGGTCTTGAGGACACAGTGATGTTATAGACACATAAACGATCATAAAGTTAATTTAACCTATGATACCTGGAGTCTACCTGGAAGGTATTCCGGGGATCAATCTCCCCGCGGTCCGGTCCACAACCAGGCCTCCCAGGGGAACAGAGCCTGATCAACCAGGCTGTTACTGCTGGCCACAAGTAGCCCAACATACGAACAACCCGGCTGATCCGGCACCGACTTTAAGTATCTGTCCAGCTCCTTCTTGAAGACAACCAGGGTCTATTGGTGATTTCCCTTATGCCTAGTTGGAGGCTGTTGAACAGTCTTGGGCCCCGGACACTTATTGTGTTTTCTCTTAGTGTACCATTGGCACCCCTACTTTTCATTGGGGGGGGGTACTGTGCACGGCCTGCCCAGTTTTTACTTTCTCATGGACTGATTTCTGTGTGTAGATTAGGGATCATTCCTTCTAGGACTTTCCAAGTGTAGATTATGATGTATCTCTCTGGCCTGCGCTATAATGAGTACGGGTACTCATATATATATTATGTTAGTGTTAACGCTCGAGGTTCGAACCTATCAACTCCGACAAGGGAGACGCGAGTGTACTCACGTAATTGTGGTTGCAGGGGTCGAGACTCAGCTCCTGGCCCCGCCTCTCCACTGATTGCTGCTAGGTTCTCTCTCTCTGCTCCCTGAGCTTTATCATACCTCGTCTTAAAGCTATGTGTGGTTCCTGCCTCCACTACATCACTTGCTGGATATATTCCACTTGCTGACAAGTCTATGACTGAAGAAGTACTCATGCCCGGCAATATGGCGGGCATGAGTACTCACAGTGAGTACAAATAAGGCCAAACAATTTGATGAATAAACTGTCATATTAATAACTTATACGACCTAACATCGAGAGAATGTTTATCTCGAGGACAACACGTCAGTGGTAAATGTTGACCTCGAGGACAACACGTCAGTGGTAAATGTTGACCTCGAGGACAACACGTCAGTGGTAAATGTTGACCTCGAGGACAACACGTCAGTGGTAAATGTTGACCTCGAGGACAACACGTCAGTGGTAAATGTGTCACAGTGACCAACTTACACCCACATCAGTGGTAAATGTGTCACAGTGACCAACTTACACCCACATCAGTGGTAAATGTGTCACAGTGACCAACTTACACCCACATCAGTGGTAAATGTGTCACAGTGACCAACTTACGCCCACATCAGTGGTAAATGTGTCACAGTGACCAACTTACACCCACATCAGTGGTAAATGTGTCACAGTGACCAACTTACACCCACATCAGTGGTAAATGTGACACAGTGACCAACTTACACCCACATCAGTGGTAAATGTGTCACAGTGACCAACTTACACCCACATCAGTGGTAAATGTGACACAGTGACCAACTTACACCCACATCAGTGGTAAATGTGACACAGTGACCAACTTACACCCACATCAGTGGTAAATGTGACCCAGTGACCAACTTACACCCACATCAGTGGTAAATGTGACACAGTGACCAACTTACACCCACATCAGTGGTAAATGTGTCACAGTGACCAACTTACACCCACATCAGTG